GGGCAGGACGGGGAGCATCGCGGCGCCTGCCTCCAGTACCAAAGCTTGGGAGGCTCTATGCGGCCACCTCTGCGGGGCGGATCTACAGCTTAGGGGATCCAGGTCCCAGCCAGATGGGGCACGGGGCGGCTGCAGCACCACCCAGCTGCTGTCATGGGGGTTCCGTGGGTAACAGGGTTTGCTGCTCCGATGTGGAACAAGAGCGTCTGCCTCGTAGCAGGTGCACGTGTGACACACAAGCTCTCATGTGACTTACCTCGAGTTGTGGAAAACAGTCTCTCTATGTCACAGGCACACAGAACCTACGTTCACCCGTCGTTTTGTAACTGAATTCTGGACCTAGGCCCCAGGTGCTCAGCTTGGGCCCAGCCAAGGTGCTGGGGCACCTTGGGGATGGTGCTGAGGCGTGGGTGAGAGCTGTGGAGCTCACCGCCCGGCATTGCTCAGGCAACTTGGAAGGAGGCACTGGCTGGGCCCAGAGGGTCCTGGGGAGGGCTAGAGCTCACTGCGGGCACCCCAACCTTGTCCACAGAGTCCCAGGCTGGCTCCTCCGGGGGCTTGGTTTAGAAACCACCTCACTGACCACCAGCCCTGAGCACTAGGATGGTGGGGTCCTACACCTGCTGAGCGGGGGAGGAAATCACACACCTTCCCGGCTCCCAGCATTGAGGTGGGGGCAGGGAGGATCCCACACTCTCCCTGAGGGGTCCTGCTGCTGAGGCATGGGTGGGGAGGATCCCTCACTCTCCCTGAGGGATTTGGGTGCTGAGGTGTGGGTGGGGAGGATCCCACACTCTCCCTGGGGGATTTGGGCGCTGAGGTGTGGGTGGGGAGGATCCCTCAGTCTCCCTGGGGGGTTTGGGCGCTGAGGTGTGGGTGGGGAGGATCCCACACTCTCCCTGGGGGGTTTGGGCGCTGAGGTGTGGGTGGGGAGGATCCCACACTCTCCCTGGGGGGTCCTGCTGCTGAGGCATGGGTAGGGAGGATCCCTCACTCTCCCTGAGGGGTTTGGGTGCTGAGGTGTGGGCGGGGAGGATCCCACACTCTCTGGGGGTTTGGGTGCCGAGGTGGGCAAGGAGGATCCCACACTCTCCCTGGGGGGTTTGGGTGCCAAGCTGGGTGGGGAGGATCCCACACCCTCCCTGGGGGATCCTGGTGCTGAGGTGTGGGTGGGAGCCATGGAGCTCACCGCCCAGTATTGCTCGGGCAGCTTGGAAGGAGGCATAGGTGGTCAAGGTGAGGGGGCCGCTGTGGGACCGTGGCCATCAGCCCCTCCCAGGCAGAGAGCAACTCTGGGAGGAGCTGGGTCAGGCTGGGGCTCTGGGGCTGTCCCCCAATGTGCTCAGCGATGCCTCCGGGCTGGCATCACTGCATTGAGGCTGTCCCCATGTCCCCGGTGGGCCCCCCAGCTCCCAGCACCCCCAGTACTGGGTGGAGGTGGCCTCACACGGCGGGACCAGTGACCCTGAGGGCCATAGTGGCCGCCTCTCTGCTTCTCAGCACCAGCTTTGGCTCATGGCCCAGAATCCTATGGAGAAACGTTTCTTGTCTAAATGAAACCTTCGTGTCTGTTGGTGAAGCCCATGAGGCCTGATTCAGACGGAAGCACCACTCTGCTTAGAAACAGGTATTTCCTAACCCTGCCTTTTGGAAATCAGAGTCAAATCCCAGTGTGGAAAGATGGCCAGCAGGAAGCCGCCATTTCACGCTGGGACTGGCTCCGGGACAGTTTGGACATGCAGTGAAACTCAAGAAACAGAAAACGGCTTCTTCTCCGAGAAAACACCAAATGGCGATGATGCCGGTGCAGTGGTGGGGCCCAGGGATGGGGAACCACGGTGGCTTCCATGGAGGTTTCAGCAGTGGCATCCAGGGCCAGGGTCACGGCCATGCTGAGGCTGAGGCCGCGGAGCTCACGGAGGCAAGGCTGAGGACAAGGAGGGGACGCCCGTCACCAAGCCGGGCTGCCTGGTCAAGGACATGAAGATCAAGTCCCCGGAGGAGATCGCTCTCTTCTCTCTGCCCATCAAGGAATCTGAGATCACTGACTTTTTCCTGGGGGCCGTACTCAAGGATGAGGTTTTGAAGATGATGCCGGTGCAGAAGCAGACCCGGTGGCCAGCACACCAGGTTCAAGGCGTTTGCTGCCTCTGGGGACTACAATGGCCACGTTGGTCTGGGTATTAAGTGCTCCAAGGAGGTGGCCACTGCCATCCATGGGGCCATCACCCTGGGCAAGCTCTCCATTGTCCCCGTGCGCAGAGGCTACTGGGGGAACAAGATGGGCAAGCCCCACACCGTCCCTTGCAAGGTGACGGGCCGCTGTGGCTCTGTGCTGGGGCCTCCTCCCTGCACCCAGGGGCACTGGCATTGTCTCAGCGTCTGTGCCCAAGAAGCTGCTCATGATGGCTGGTATCAGTGACTGGCACACCTCAGCCAGGGACTGCACTGCCACCCGACAAGGCCACCTTTGATGCCATCTCTGACTTACAGCTACCTGACCCCCGACCTCTGGAAGAAGCCTGTATTCACCAAGTCTCCGTATCAGGAATTCACTGACCACCTCGTCAAGACCCACACCAAAGTCTCCGTGCAGAGGACCCACGCTCCAGCTGTGGCTACAACAAAGGGTTTTTATACAAGAAAAATAAATGTGTTAACCCTGAAAAAACAAAACAAAACAGAAAATGAGGCCAAAGAGCCCGTGGGTTAAACAAAAAGCAGGAACAAGATGGGCTCCCGGGGATGGACACCTTCTTCCCCACAGGCGCCTCAGTCCTGCGGGGATGCACCCACATCCAGGCTCCATGCTACCCGGAGAGAGACTAGAGGCTTGTGCCAGCCCAGATGGGAGGCACCAAGGTCCTGGGAGGCCCAAGGATGTGCTCAGGATGGTGCAGTCACTCATGCTGGCCCCAGTGTAGCCCCCGCATGGCTCCCCAGTGGGTTGGCCATAGGCATGAGCTGTGCCCCCGCACCTGGCTCTGCCCCTGCACACCCGGGGCCCCCAGCAGCCTCCACGTCCACAGCCTCTGACGGGGCTTAGATGCTTTCCGATTCGAGGCAACACTCTTGAAGTGGTTTTCATGGGGGCAGTGGCATATGGGTTCCTGAGGGCACCTGTCCCAGGCAGTGCCAGAGTGCGCCTAGAGCTGGGCGGCCTCTGGGGCTGCGTGATGGTGACTGTCCACGCTCAGGATGTGGAGGTAACTGACTTCTGTGTGCACAGCCCCTGCCTCCCGGGATGTGCTGTGCGCATGCTTGTACTTTTTAAAAATACTGCTTTGTTGGGATTTAAGCGACATACAGTGAACTGCACGACTTTAAAGCATGCAGTTTGACGACTCTGGATACAAGAGCACACCCGTGAAGCTACTCCTGCATTCACGCAACCCAGAGAGCAGGGCTGTCTGGCTCGCCGGCGTCCTGCGCCCTGCCCGCGTTTGCTTCCATCTCTCACCACGTGTCTTCTGTGTCACCCCCCACCCACCTTCCCTTTCCCTCTTTTTCTACAAATATTTAGACTGGATTCTTTTTAGACGGAGTCTCGCTCTGTAACCCAGGCTGAGTGCAGTGGCGCGATCTTGGCTCACTGCAACCTCCGCCTCCCAGATTCTTGCAATTCTCCTGCCTCAGACTCCCAAGAAGCTGGGACTATAGGCACATGCCGCCACACCCGGCTAAATTTTTGCATTTTCGTAGAGATGGGATTTTACCGTGTCGCCCAGGCTGGTCTCAAACTCCTGAGCTCCAGCAATCCGCCTGCCTCAGCCTCCCAAAGTGCTGGGATGACAGGCGTGAGCCACCGCGCCCAGCCTGGACTGGATTTCTAAAAATTCAATTTTATCTCCCCTGATGGTTTATTAGCTGTCATTGTTTTGTTATGTTAGTGATTGTTTCAAGGGTTTCTAAGTATGTCTTTAGCTTACCACAATCTACCTTCAAGTGGTACCGCCTCACTTCACGTATCATATCCAGCTTCTCCCAGCCCTCATGCTACTGCGGCTGCGCAGCTCACCCAGACGTAGAGTACAAACCGCAGATACATTCATACTTTTGTTTAGACAGTTAGCTTTTATTTTTTTGACAGAGATGCAGTCTTGCTATGTTTCCCAGGATAATCCCCAATTCCTGGGCTCAAGTGACCCTCTGGCCTCAGCCTCCCAAAGTGCTGGGATTAGACATGAGCCACCACACCCGGCCAAGCACTAATCTTTTAACCCATTTCCCATTTAGGAAAAAAAGTGCAGCTCACTTCCAGGGCTCACTTCTTGGGGCAAACGGGAGATGCGTTAAAGAGAGTTAAATAACAAGAGGCAAATCTCGTCTCGTGCACAGGCTCTTCATTTTTCTTTTCCTGAGGCACATCCTTCAATGTTTCTTGCAGTGCGGGTCTGCGGGTGACGAATTATGTTAGCTTCCGTGTGTATGCAAATGTCTTTACTTCACCTTCCTTTGGAAAGATTTTGTCAGGCACAGAATTTGACTTTGGCAGTTTTCTCCTTAGTACATTACGCTGCCTCACCCACACCGGCTGCTCCCGAGAAGTCGGCCGTCCCCGAGAAGTCGGCCGTCCCGAGGAGTCGGCTCTTCCCGAGGAGTCGGCTCTTCCCGAGGAGTCGGCCGTCCCCGAGAAGTTGGCTGCTCCCAAGAAGTCAGCTGCTCCCAAGAAGTCAGCTGCTCCCGAGAGGTTGGCTGTCCTCATCAGATTTGTGCCTCCCAACAAAATGTGCCCTTGTTCTCTGACTGCTTTTAGGATTTTCTGCTTATCCCTGGTTCTATGCAGTTTGATTATGATGTGCATTCACGTCTCTTGTGTTTGGAGTTCACAGGGTCTACAGGACTCCAGACTTACACCAGTGGCCCCGTGTTCTCAGGCCTTTGGCCTCTGAGTCACGCCACTGGCCTCCCTGGCTCTGAGGCTTTAGGACTTGGACTGAGCCACAGCAGCAGCTTCCTTGGGTCTCCAGCTCGTGGGCGGCCTACTGTGGGGCCTTTTACCTGCCACAATTGTGTCAGCTGACCCCCCAAGGCCCCTCTGAGCTGTCTGCTGGTCTGTCTACCTATCTATTGATCTATCTGTCTGTATATACATCAAGCTATCTCCTATTGCTTCTGTCTGGGAGACCTGACTAATGCAACCAGCTTCCACCGATGCCTCTTGAAGCTGCCTCACAGTCTCTTCTGTGAAATCCAGCCAGTTCCCCCATCCAGGGTAGTTTTCACTGTCAATATTGTGGGTTCTCTCCCCATAAGGCCAGTCTGGGTCTTCTTGGTCTCTTCCATGCGATTTCTGAACTTTTTGGACGTCTGGGATGCAAGTGCAGCCACGGTGTGAGTTCTGTTGTTCTCGCTCCAATGCCGGCTCTGCACGGTCGGCTTGCCCGGCGGTGACTCTCCCTGGCATGTCTGCACTTTGCTGCGCCTCTGCAAGCCGTGAACTGTGAGGTCGGGCACCCTGCGTTTACCCTGCAGGGTGCAGACACTTCGGGAACTAGAGATCATCTAGAGCTTTGTTCGGGGATGGAGTGAATTATCTGCAAAAGTCTGATCAGTTTTGGTCTTGCTTTTATGATTTTGTAGGTTGGTCAGGAGCAGGGCTCATTCTAGGGCTAATTATCCCCACTCCTGAGGCACGACCTTCTGAGAACTCCACCTAATGCTCACAGGCTGTCTGCTGGGAATGGGTCCTGTCCCCAGCCCACGTGAGCACCAGGAACTGATCTTCAGTCAAAGGTTTCTCCCAGCCTGGCAGCCTCCCTGCTGGAGTGTGTGAATGGGTAGCACCCCACTGGAGGGGCCGATCGGGTGAGTCCTTCTCCAGCAGGTGTCTCTCTGACCTCAAACGCCTGCTGATGTGGTCTCTCCAGCTCACGGAGGCTGCTGGGCTCTTCCTGGACTCTCCCTGCACTGAGGCCTGGAACCTCTCAGGGCAGAGGTTGGGGCACCTCCAGGCTCACCTGCCGTCCTCCTGTCTCTCAGGGATCACGGTCCTTTGTTGCCAAATGTCTGTCTTGACATCTGTTTCATGTTTTGTCTGTTTCTTTTGTTTTCAGTCTGTTTCCTATGATGTTGTCTTGGGTGGAAATGGAAGCTTTGTTTTTTAAATAAAAGTTTAAATTTGTTTGAAAATGTTTGGGAGTATCTAAAATCCTGGGAAACACCTGGACACATGCCCTACTGCTCCCTGTGTATCGTCCTGGCCGCCTGATGGGCATCTGTACCCCGACAGCCGTCAGGCCTGGCGTGCCCGGCTCAGTGGCACAGTGGGAGCCCCTCACGCACCGCAGCCTGGGTGCCCGTCTCCAGCTCTGGCTCTGGCTCATCTTCCTCGACGCAGGCTCTGATGTCAGATGACCAGGGGCCGTGGGCAGGGCTCCACAGGCCCGGGTGGGCTGGGCTGGCGGACACAAGCAGGCCTGGCGACCCCAGGATGGAGGCTTGGCTGCTGGAGGAGGAGGTGCTGCTGTCCGAGATGGTGGAGTGTGGCCGCTTGCAGGGGGCGGCATGGTCGAAGGAGGGCACCGCTGTGGACCCTCTCGCTTGTGACTCTGGAAAGGGACAGAAAGCAGGTCGGGCCGGCCTCCACTCCAGAAGTGCCGCCAAGTTCAGGAATGGGATCAGGGCCATCCAGAAGGCAGACCAGGCTTTGCCCCCGAAGACGTGCCCGTCCCACCCACCACGTCGGCCACAGGCCCCATGTGCTCTGCAGGGCGAGTGAGGGCGGGGCTGAGGCCACGTTACCTGTGCCTTGGACGGTGCAGCCGTGGGCCCGGCTGCTGATCGCTGCACTGCTGGGCTGGACGTCCAGGAATGGCTTGTTCCCTATCCCCATGGACGCCATTTCTTGGATCCTGAGTTCTAAGACAGAGGAAAGTAGGACAGTTTCCAAAGCGACTTGGGGGCTAGTGCCCACCCGAAGACCCCAGCGCCAGGGTGCGGGGTTTCCCATTCGGGTTTTCAGCACCGTGGAGATCTCTTCCCAGGAGCCCAAGGCAGTAAGCAGGAAAGAGGAGGCCACGAGACCTTGGAAACAGCGTGTCCAGCCTGGCGGGGAGGAAGGTCCCTGTCTGCCGGTAAGCGGGGGAGGCCACGCAGGGTCCCTGTCTGCCCGTAAGCGGGGGAGGCCACGCAGGGTCCCTGACTGCTGGTAAGCGGAGGAGGCCACGAAGGGTCCCTGTCTGCTCGTAAGCGGGGGAGGCCACGCAGGGTCCCTGACTGCTGGTAAGCGGGGGAGGCCACGCAGGGTCCCTGACTGCTGGTAAGTGGGAGGGGCCTACGAGTTTGACTATTGAGAGGGGAGCTAAGTATAAGGTGAGAGTTTGGGAATGAATTTATTCTTGATCAAATTAAGCAAAAAAAGATATTAATTGTAAGGAAAAACGTGTGAGGACAGAAGACAAATTGCATTTATGGAGTCATAATGCATATGCTGAGTAATATTATAGTAAGAATTATTTTCTAGAGCTCTTGGGAGAATGGGAAGAAGTACAGCGTGTGTGTGCTGCAGTTACAGCGTTATTGATTATCTTCATTAACAGGTAACGTGCAAAGTTGGTTATTCAAGAGTGGGCATCTGCTCTTGTTACGGAGCCAGGCAGGGAGGGGCCGAGGGCAGCTGCTGGGATGCAGGGCTGCAGCGGGCCAGCGAGCAGGACACTGCTCCTCCCCTAACCCTGAGGCACTATCTCAGGGCTAGTGTCTGCATGGACACGGGACAGCTTCCTCCTCTGGCTGCGGTGTGTTTGCCTGTACACCTTACACCCAAGCCCGCCGCCAAGAGCAACCAGAAAAGCTGAACACATTTTTTGAGGGTGTTTTGGAGGTGCCAAGGCAGTCCAGCCTCAAAGGGCCAACATCCTGGGCAGATGTGGAGCTCACAGACACTGGGCACCTGTCACATGTCTAAGCCCTCAGGGCTTGCTGCTGTCTGATAAGCAGAGAGCTCATCTTGGAGCTTCTGACAACAGCACAGGGTGGGGAGATACCGTCTGGAATTCAAGGACCGCCAGGGAGGAGGGGCCTGGGAAACTCTCATTCACTGGGGACCTGGAAAGGGAGCAAGGACTTTGCCAGGAGTGGGACAAACAGAAGCTGGATCAGTTGCCCAAAGGCATGCAGCCCCTCCCAGAGTGCCTTCGGATGATCCAGCCCTGCTCCTTCCACAGCAGTAAATCCTCTGGAGGGGAGGACACCAGCCCCGGGCTGAGATGATCCTTACACATTTCCTACGTCATCTACTGCTTAATGAAAAACCACCAGCACAACAGGAGAAAAAAGGCTGAGGAAAAACCCAGACAATTAAACACCCACGAGATAAAGGTTTGGACATTTCAGACAGGCCGTGGAGGAAGCAGATCACAGGACAGAGAGTCTCCAGAGGAACCCCAAATCCATCAAGTAAAAGGAATCAAATGCAAACCTACATATCAAAAATAAACCAACAGCTAATTAAGTGGGTTTGGCAGCAAAGCAGATGAATGACCTTTAAGACAGGTGGAAAACATGCAGACAGAAGCGTGGAAGCTGTGATAAAAACACAAAACACGTGAGCAACACGGGAACATGTGAGAAGGTCATATGTGTAATTGGAGTTCCAAGAGGAGAGCAGAGAGCAGGGCAGGAGAATGGATCAAAGGTTGCAGAACTAACCCCACGCGGGGACACACACAGGGACTGCATGCTTGTCCACGAGCAGAGCTGGCCTGGGGGCAGCCAGAGAGCTCTGTTCACGGCAGCGGCTGCTCAGGTCTCTCTGCCTGGGGGTGTTCCCCGCCTTCCTGTGGACAGGACAGAAGTGTCGGGTAGTTAACACCCAGGAGGAGCCTCAACAACGAGGGACAGGAGTTGGCGGAGAAACACCCAGGTCCCTCCGCACGGAGGCAGGGCCTGCGGGTGCCTGCCTCCCAGCGGGCGTGTGCAGGGCCTGCCTGCCAGTCACCCTCCAGGGCCTTCCCTCCTCTCTCACTTCCCCTTCTCACCAAACAAGTAGAAAACCAAGAGTGAGACACTGGAGATTTATACCCAAGTTACATTACATGTAAACACACTACTCCAATTTAAAGACAAGGATAGCCAAGCTAGATGAAAAGATAAAAGTGAAATCAAATAAAGGCCTTTTACAAGAGACACATCTCAAATACAAGAACACCAGACGCTCCAAGTAAGATGGAAAAGTATGTGCTGTGTGAACACTAACGGCAAAAGGAAACAGCAACAGCCAGGTTAACAGGGCGCACAGTGGGTCTCCTGCATCTGTGGGCTTCATATCACAGATGGAAAGGGGAAGAGCCAGGTTAACAGGACACACAGTGGGTCCTCTGCATCTGTGGGCTCCAGATCACAGATGGAAACCGGAAGAGCCACGTTAACGTTAACGGCACACAGTGGGTCTACTGCATCTGTGGGCTCCATGTCACAGATGGAAACGGGAACAGCCAGGTTAACAGGATGCACAGTGGGTCTTCTGCATTTGTGGGCTTCATATCACAGACGGAAACTGGAAAGCCAGGTTAACAGGGCACACAGTGGGTCTACTGCATCTGTGGGCTCCAGATCACAGATTCCACCAAGGATCAAAAATATATGAACAAAAAGCAATTGACAATAAAAATTAGCTGGGCGCGGTGGCTCATGTCTGTATTCCCAGCACTTTGCGAGGCCAAGGCAGGTGGATCACGAGGTCAAGAGATCAAGACCATTCTGGTCAACTTGGTGAAGGCCCGTCTCTACTGAAAAAAACCAAAAAATTAGCCGGGCTTGGTGGCATGTGCCTGTAGTCCCAGCTACTCGGGAGGCTGAGGCAGGGGAATCACTTGAACCCAGGAGGCGGAGGTTGCAGTGAGCTGAGATCGTGCCACTGCACTCCAGCCTGGTGACAGAGCAAGACTCCATCTCAAAACAAACAAACAAACAAACAAAAACAATAAAAATTAAAAATACAAATAAACCAATATCACAACTATTTATGTAGCATTTGCATTGTATTTTGTACTATAAGTAATCTACAGACGATTTTAAGTATATAGGAGCATGTGTGTAGCTTAAATGCAACTACTGTGCCATTTTATATTAGGGACTTGAACAACCTCAGACTTGGGTATCTGTGGGGGGGGCATCCTGGAGCCCACCCCCATGGACACAGAGGGACAGCTGTAGACCCAAGGCAGAGGCATTGCTAAAAACAAAGAGATGCATTTCATGATGAAAAAAGAGGCTCTGTTTCCAGGAAGATACAGCAATTCTATATTGCTATGCACCTAATAATTTAGCTTCAAAATATAGAAAGCAAAAATAGACAGAACAAAGAGAAAAATAGACATTCAAATCTACATCATCATGGGGGATTTTCACATAATTTTCCTAGTAAGTGATAAGCAGACAAAAATCCAGTAAGGATGTAAGAAATTTGAACACAATTTTCTTTTTTTTTGAGACGGAGTTTCGCTCTTGTTACCCAGGCTGGAGTGCAATGGCGCGATCTCGGCTCACCGCAACCTCCGCCTGCTGGGTTCAGGCAATTCTCCTACCTCAGCCTCCTGAGTAGCTGGGATTACAGGCACGCACCACCATGCTCAGCTAATTTTTTGTATTTTTAGTAGAGACGGGGTTTCACCATGTTGACCAGGATGGTCTCGATCTCTTGGACCTCGTGATCCACCCGCCTCGGCCTCCCACAGTGCTGGGATTACAGGCTTGAGCCACTGCGCCTGGCCAAGAACAACACAATTTTCAAAACACAACCAGACTCTGCAGTAACCACCACAAAGCACTTTCTCCCAGGTGCACGTGGAAAACACGACCAGACTCTGCAGTAGCCACCGCAAAGCACCTTCTCCCCAGGTGCATGTGGAAAACATGACCAGACTGTGCAGTACGCACCACAAAGCACTTTCTCCCAAGTGCACGTGGAAAACATGACCAGACTCTGCAGTAGCCACCGCAAAGCACCTTCTCCCCAGGTGCACGTGGAAAACATGACCAGACTGTGCAGTACGCACCACAAAGCACTTTCTCCCCAGGTGCACGTGGAAAACACGACCAGACTGTGCAGTAACCACCACAAAGCACCTTCTCCCCAGGTGCACGTGGAAAACATGACCAGACTCTGCAGTAACCACCACAAAGCACTTTCTCCCCAGACGCATGTGGAAAACACGACCAGACTGTGCAGTAACCACCAGAAAGCACCTTTTCCCCAGGTGCACGTGGAAAACACGACCCGACTCTGCAGTAAGCACCACAAAGCACTTTTTTCCCCAGGTGCACGTGGAAAATTTACCAAAATGCTAGGACACAAAACATTCCAAATAATCAAAATTATTACAGGAAGTTAGATGGGCATGAGAGGGGCAGGAGAGGGCTCCCCCAGCCACCGGGAAGGTCAGGTGACGGCTGTGTGTGCATCACACCTGCTTCTTTAAAGGTGATAACGTGGCAGCCAGTGCCAGGGAGAGGCTGTTTCCTGATGGTCCACACCTGTTGCACTCAACTTTTAACTGAAGGCAGGCGCCAGGAGAAGCAACTTTGTGCATTAACAGACAGAATGGCAGAATGTGACCTTCTGGGGGCACCTCATCAGAAAAGAGAAGAAAGCTTCAGATGGGCGTGCATACCACTTCCTAAACACACCACACAGCCTCCCATCCTGAGGGTGAGGAGCGCATGGCGCATGCAGGCAGCTGGCCCTCAGGGAAGAATCATGGGTACTGGCAGCCTACAAAGTCCTAGGATCAAGGTTAAATGGGGCACTTGATTTTGGTGCCTGCTTGGGTCTCTTCCAAGTGTACTTTCCTGCCTTAAATCCTTTTTAAATGAACCTCCACTCCTGCTCTGAAACTTGCCTCGGTCTCTTTTTCTGCCTTATGCCCCTCAGTGGAATTCTTCCTTCCGAGGAGACAAGAACTGAGGTTGCTGCGGAGCTGCAGATTCTCTGCAGTAACTTGGACCCTTCCACGGTAACAAACTCTAGTGAATATTATTTGACCAAAGTGGTCTTAAACTGAAAACTGGTATCAGAAAGTTAACTAGAAAATCTTGGAAATTAACTAATGCATTTCTAAATAACCCATAATGAGCCCAAGAAGAAATTAAAGTGGAAGAAAATATGCTGAACTGACTTAATAAACATATCACATGTACAAACTTGTGGGGTGCAGCTAATGCCAAGCTTAGGGGACAATCTGTAGTCCTAAATACTGCACAAACGAGGACAAAGCGAAGGCTAGAATCAATAACCTAAGCATCCACCCACCTCAAGAAATTAGGTGGAAAGGAAAAACAAATAATCGAAACGGCAGCACAAGAAAATAACACACAGTAGGAATTAATTAAATAGGAAATAAATGTGTAGATAATCAATTAAACCAACATTCTGTCTTCCGAGAAGAGTAATTTGGTAAACCCCTCGGAAAACTGGAGAAGTCAAGAGAGGACTCAAGGCACCAACCAGGAGATAGACACGGGGTGCCAGACCCTAGACACACCTGAAAAGCATTAGGCTCCACTTTCCAGGTGACCCACTGCACCTGCAGGGGCTGCACAGCTCTGTGGCCCACGCCCCGAGCCCCCAGGCCCAGGCAGAGTCCTGTGTGCATACCCTGTGCTCAGCTGTCTACCTGGCCCTGTTTGAGAAAGGCTGTGAAGCTAAGTAATTTGGACGTAACACCATGGAACCGTAAGGTGTTCTGAGCCCTGAGAGGAATGCGGCAGTGCCGAGTCACCGAGCGTCAGCTGCAACTTCTGCTTTTTCCGGTAAATGGTTAGGGAAGACCTGGACGCACCACAGAGAAGAATCTCTCAGAACTGCTGCCTCCTCCTCACAGACTGTTAAAGCATCTTCCTTGGGATGCAGCAACCTGTACTAACCAAGTTGCTGTGAATTCGCTGCACCCTGCTGGCAGCGTCCCTGCCTCTGTAAGTGAAGCCTCAGCTTCCCCACTGTGGAGCACGGACCCCAGCCCTTTGGAGTCTGCATTCCGGGGCGGCCATTCTCATGCTTGCGCTTGAATCAACTTAGATTTCCTGAATCTGATTACTCCAGGCCGGCAGGGTCTACTGCCTGCAGACCCCAGGTGCTTGTGCTTGGAACACAGGAGGGGCTGAAACAGACGCATCGACCCCGGGAGGCTTTGTGCACTGCAGTCAGACAGACCCCACGCAGGAAGCAGGACCGGCGGGTGGCAAAGGAAGGAAGGAAAAGGGCCAGGAAGGCTCTTTGGGTGGTGGCATCTCGGAGGTGAGGCTCTGGCCAAGTAGCTGCTTTGGGGGCTGTCCGGGGGTGAAGCCCACAGAGGTGTGGAGCAGCCAGAAGGCTGGCGACTGGTGGGGGAGCCAGAGGGGATGCCATGGGGCCCCCTGTGCCTCGCAAAGCTGGCTCCGAAGTGTTTTGGGGTCTGGTGGGGAGGTGGTAGCTGTGCCTGGAGGGGTCAAGGCTCAGCCGGGTGTGGCCGGGCAGGGGCTCTGGTCGTGCTTGTAGCTTGGATTTCTTAGGTCTGAGAGGCCACAGCAGCCAGGGTGGCTTGTAGGGATGAGGGGACAGCTGGGTTTGCAGTGACTCTGGGTATCTGTGAGGCGCTGGGGCAGACTCTGGAGTTGGAGCTCAGTGTGGGAGAAGGTCTGGGGTGGGGGGCAGTCACCGTGAAGGAAGTGTTACCAGCCACCAGGGTGGAGGAGTAAGTGCAGAGGGGCACCCCCAGTGAAGAAGCTGGGGGAGGAGCAAATGAGGGGGGACACTGAGGGAGAAGGGAGGAGGCCTGGGGGAGGGGTCTTCGGGTGGGGGATGAGGGCTCTGGGGAGAGCCCTCTCACCTGTAGGAAGACTGAGGGCCCCGGGGGCCAGACCAGCAGGGCAGGGGCAGGAAGCCGACCAGAAGGTTAAATCTGGAGCCAGAGCTGCGGGGGACTCTCTAGGGTGGCCGCAGTGCCGGGTGTGTTGGGAAGGGCCTTGTTTATGTTCCCTTGTGTACACGAGAGCTGCATGTGTGAGTGCCGTCAGGTCCACCCAAGAGCTTCCTCGTAAAGTGCTGATCGAGGGCCCCAGGTGCCCTGGCCAGGGTGGGCTTCTTGGGCAGCCATGAGAAGAAAATGGGCGGTTGGGCTCTTGGGGGCTCCTAAGAGTGATGAGGCCCTGAGGGAGGTTGGCTTTGGAGATTGAATCACGCAGCTCAAACCCTAAATTTTGGACCTTTGGTTATAGGCTACCTTGCCTCCCTGCCTCCCTGTTCCCAGCTCAGACCAGATGTCCCTGGCAGAGAAGTCCCCTTGACTATTCCGTTCTCGATGTGAAACGCAAAATATACCCCCACCCCACCGAGAAACAGACACGGCGTGTAGCCAGTCAAATCGCTGTATAACTGTGCACCAGTGTAACCTATTAACTTTTCCCGGACGTGTCTCCCCACTTCAGGGCAGTGACCCCATCGCTGTGCAGTCTGCGTCCTCCCGGGTGGCCGCCCTCAGAGCTTGTGCTCAAGTGAAGTCCATATTTAATCATAGTGCCCGAATCTCAGCATTAAGGTTGAAGCTCCGCTCCCAACCCATGCCTGCACCCCAGCCCCACTCCCAGCCCTGGCCCCTGGACGCAGTCCCCAGCTCTCAGCCCAGCCCCACCCTGGCCCCGGCCCTAGCTGTGCCCGAGCTGGGCAGGTCCTGCGGCCCCCATCTTCCCACCTCTGCTCCTCAGCGCCTGCTGCCACAGGATCCTCCCTATGATGTCTGTCCACCTGCTCTTGACCGCTGCCGAGCTTGCTTGGAGAATGTAGGTGTCCTGAGATTTCCGCCGCCTGCGAAACCAAATCTCAAACCTCAAGCCACTGTCCCCGACGTTCTGTGTCATCCCGATCTCAGCCGTCTGCAGTCAGCAAACACCCGTGGCAGCACCGTCAGGCACACACGTGTTCTCTGAATGACTGGCTATTTTCTGGCCGACTGACCCAAATTCCTCAGTGTTGGAGGTCACTTAACCCAGACACCAAATGACAAACGTGTGGGATGGGTCAGGGTGGGCGACACCACACTGCTCACGACTATGTGAGGCTGCTCTTGAGTGTGCAAGGGAGAGTGCTTGTGTGCAGGACAGCTGCCTGTGTGTGTCTGCTAATGAGTGTGTGAGGGAGAGTGCTTGTGTGCAGGACAGCTGCCTGTGTGTATCTGCTGAGTGTGTGCGGGAATACTTGTGTGCAGGACAGCTACCTGTGTGTGTCTGCTCATGAGTGTGCGCAGGAGTGCTTGTGTGCAGGACAGCTGCCTGTGTGTGTCTGCTCATGAGT